GCCCATAGATACAACGCGGGTAGGGTTATTTTTAATCCCGGAAAGTGTACGCAAAAAATTCGAAAACCTCTGTCGACGGATTATACCCTAAAAGTCAAGGGAAATCCAAGATATTTTTTGGTCCTTCGAGCCGGATCTCGATATCCGGTGCATTTTCGATTAACTGACCATCTAAACACCGACGATTTTCCTCCGGAGTCGTCCTACTCGCGACCGTTAAATCCGTTGATATCACGCAACCCGTTTTGATACGTGTAGTGCAGTGCAAGTGAGTGGTCTTGCTCCGGTTTAACGGAACGCTTTAAACAAACCAAACTCGATTAGTGTAAGTTTTGTTAATAGTTTATTTGTGTGGTTTAATTACATTTTTGTGTGAACGTTTTGCGAACATTTGAACTCATTTGAGCAGTGTCGGTTGAACGGTTACGGGCTCGATCCTCCGTGTGTTGACCTTTTTTTTTCTGACTCTTCGTTACCTCGCGTGTGTTTACCATGGCTCCAGCTGTGGCGGAGTTGCTGCAAAGCCAAGCGGATTTGTTTACTCGCATCGACAATTTCAAACGTAACACCGACAAGTTAGGGAAGGATAACCTGACTGTCACTGTTTTGAAATCACGACAGCGCCTTCTCAACTCTTACTGGGAGAAGTTTACTAATAATCACGATGCAATTGTGCGTCTACCGGAATCCAAGGCGACCGAATACACCGCGAAAGGGGTTTACGATGAAGTGGAGGCGCAATTTGTGCTTCGCGATTCAGAATTGAGCGATCTGATAGCCGCTGCAGAGCGTGCCAATGGGACCAGTGCATCTTCGGGCTCGTCAGCTGCAGTACACAAATCCCCGGAAGTGGTACTCCCGCCGATCACTTTGCCGACTTTCTCAGGAGAGACGCTCGAATGGGAATCGTTTCGCGACCGGTTCCGATCGTTAATCCACGACAATGATCGTCTGTCGGAACTTCAGAAGCTCCAATACCTCAAGGGAGCGTTGCGAGGCGAAGCGGCAAGGGTGGTGGAGGCCACGCCAACTATGGAAGGCTGTTATGCAGGTGCGTTTGAATCACTCGAACGTCGATTCGGTAACCCGCGCATGCTGTCGGCTGCCCATCTTCGTCGGTTAATCCACAGCAAGGCGATCAGCAAGGCAACTCCTCAGGACTTCAAACGAATTCTTGACGAATTTCGAGGGTCGCGCCTTGCTCTGAAGGCCCTGGGCAGGCCGGTGGATCATTGGAACGAGCTGTTCGTTCACCTGCTCTCAGAGAAGCTCGACACGGCCACGCGGATATCCTGGGAATCTTCGTTGGATGATCCCACGAGAGTTCCAGCTTTCGAGGATTTGGAGAAGTACCTGGAAACTCGTGTCCACGCTCTCAGCTTCGCGCAAGAACGGGATCGATCGTCTCCATCTGTCACCGTCAAGGATCAAAAACGCCCGGCTACTATCACCCCCCGGGAGCGGTCTGCCCTTGCAGTGCAGGTAGCCAACGAGCCCACGCCGAAGTCGAAGACAGGTCGCGTCTGCCCAAAGTGCTCCGGCCCTCATCAACTGGGTTTTTGCCCCCGGTTCAAGGCTCTCAACCCCTTGGAACGGAGAGACTTCGTGGATGCACATGCGCTCTGTAGCTCGTGTTTGAGCCCTGGACATACTACGAAGTCATGCAAATCATCGTATGACAAGTTAGGGAAGGATAACCTGACTGTCACTGTTTTGAAATCGCGACAGCGCCTTCTCAACTCTTACTGGGAGAAGTTTACTAACAATCACGATGCAATTGTGCGTCTACCGGAATCCAAGGCGACCGAATACACCGCGAAAGGGGTTTACGACGAAGTGGAGGCGCAATTCGTGCTTCGCGACTCAGAATTGAGCGATCTGATAGCCGCTGCAGAACGAGCCAATGGGACCAGTGCATCTTCGGGCTCGTCAGCTGCAGCACACAAATCCCCGGAAATGGTACTCCCGCCGATCACTTTGCCGACTTTCTTAGGAGAGACGCTCGAATGGGAATCGTTTCGCGACCGGTTTCGATCGTTAATCCACGACAATGATCGTCTGTCGGAACTTCAGAAGCTCCAATACCTCAAGGGAGCGTTGCGAGGCGAAGCTGCAAGGGTGGTGGAGGCCACGTCAACTATGGAAAGTGCGTTTGAATCACTCGAACGTCTATTCGGTAACCCGCGCATGCTGTCGGCTGCCCATCTTCGTCGGTTAATTCACAGCAAGGCGATCAGCAAGGCAACTCCTCAGGACTTCAAACGAATTCTTGACGAATTTCGCGACTTGCTCGGTTATTTTTAATCCCGGAAAGTGCACGCAAAAAATTCGAAAACCTCAATCAAGTGTTAAGGGATGGTCAGGTTTATCATTATTTGGCAATTTCTTTTGCGCGTTACACGTATAAGTACTATAGCTGTGAACTCAAGCATGTTTCCTCTTTTCGTACATTCTGATGGTCCAACACGGCCAAAGTCACGCCAATAAGAATAAATGGAAGGATGTATTGCTTATTTCATGAAAGAAATAAGGTCGGTAAAATTGTATCAAATTTTCTACAGGTATAAGCTACAGCGAATCGCTTCTTGAAAGTACTTATTAAGGTAAAACAATCAAAACTAACCTCCATATTCCATGAAATAAAATGAAAGTGCTGTTAAATACAATGTATCAATATACAATAATATGACCTTTTGTTCTGTCCATTCATTTTTATTGCATGCACCTAATGACGACGATGACGTCGATAACTCCATTTATGGTTTTCCACCTAAATCGGCAGTAGAAAGAATTAATCAACAATAGGTAAAGTAGGACAAGGGCAGCGATATATCGACAAATTTATCGTATTAACATACCATTTCATTTTTATTTTGTTTTATTAAATTAATAACATATTCAGTTTGCTTTCGACCGTCAAACCGGCAAGACGTATTTAGCATCGTGCCGCGTGTTGTGTGTCGCGAGTGAATATAAATAAGAAATCGGTTACAAGTGTCTAAATTCTGTAGGTATACACAAAAACCTACATATGGCAGCTCCTGACTACAGGAGCTCTCAAAATACTCTACCGACAGTCTCTCACAACAGCAATCCCAACATGCCTTTAAAACAAAGTTATGCGTCAGCGACACAAAGTTCCTTATTTCCTCAGAAAAACCAAGCAATAGTGCTCGATTCTATCGACGGCATCCCATTAAAGGAATATGTTAATGCAATCGGGAAAATCACAGATCCAGCAAATATTAGATTCGTATCAAGAATTTCAAACTCTCGTATATGTATATTCTTATCAAGTAAACAAATAGTAGAGAACATCACAAGCAGTTATTCAAAAATCATAATAGGAAACAATACAATCAGCCTACGACCTTTAATAAACAGTCACAAAAGAATTATTCTGTCTAACGTATGTCCGGTAATTCCGCACGAGATTATTGAGAAAGAATTGATTAAATTAAACGTGAAACCTATGTCCCAAATAACATTTCTTAGAGCTGGGTTATCTGAACCTGGATTCTCACATATACTAAGCTTCCGGCGTCAAGTATTTATAAAACCGGAAGATGTTGACAAGTTACCACCATCGTTGAACATCTTTTATGAAGACACCAGTTATTGGATCTACTTATCAGGAGACAATATTAATTGCTACCTATGTAAAAAAGAAGGCCACTTAGCAAAAGACTGCCCAGACTCAACAAATAAAGAAAATAATACTGCAATGGATACCTCAACCCTTTCATCACCAATCCAAGGGACCACATCCCATAAACAATTTTCGGATCTCAACACGAGAGCTGAAATGACGCGACTATCACAAATTTTAAA